CCAAGAGAGATTATGTAAAGGTGCAAATTTCCAATGATGAATGTCATTATATTGTATACCTATAATGTACCAATAAAATTAAATTTTAAAAAAGAAAAGACAAAACCATAACAAAGAAGAAATCAGTGCTACCAGGGGTCAGGGTGTGGCATGAAGAAGTACTCTGGAATTGTTTTGTGCCCTGGTTGTGGTGGTGGCTACACAAATCTATATGTGTTCCAATTGGTAGAACTGCACGCTAAGAGAGTAAATGTTATAATAAAATCAATTTGAGATGTAAGAGTCTAGAATTCTACTATAAAAGTCTTATAAAACTGTTGGAGCCAGGTGTGGTGGCGCCTGCCTGTCATCCCGGACTCCGGAGGCTGAGGCAGGAGGGTGGCTGCGAGTTTGAGGCCAGCCTGGGCTACATAGTGAGACCCTATCTCAAAATACCAAAAAGCAGAAAACAAAAACCCCCCAAAACAAAACATGTTTGAATTACAGAGTTTGAAAAATGGGTAGAAATCACTTATGCTAATATTATGTTAATCTCTGAATTTTCTATAATTCCACAAACATTTAAAGAAGGATATTCAGTGAGACTTGTATATCAATAGAACAAAACTTATATTTCGGCCCCCAGCCTTAATTTTTACAGTTTTACCAAGTTTTTTTCTCAAAGAGGGGAAGAATGAATTATATATCGTTATGTGTAAAATCAAAATCAACTCATATTACTTCTGGCAACCATACAGGGCTGTTCTGTGGCACAAGGGAAATAATATAAGTCAAAGTCACTTGAGACTATCTTATTACTGAAGTTTAAAAAGAAAACCCCAGAATTGAATGAGATAAGACCCTAGGGCGCGCTCTCCCTCTCCCTCCCCGCCCCCCTCTTTTGAGGCAGGGTCTTGCTAAATCACTAAGTTTCCTGGTGTGGGCTTGAACTTGGGATTCTCCTGCTTTAGCCCCCTTAGAGTGCTAGGATTACAGGTCTGTGCCGCCACGCCCAGCATAAGGTAGCTTTTAAATATTTTTAGATGGCAGTTCCCTGACAGCTGCCTTCAGCCAGTGTTCCTGGCTTTTCAACTGCTGTATTGCCTAGCAATGCACACAAACAGTCACTGACCAGTGATTACAAACTCAGGCAAACAATCAGTCCCTAACTGTGCTGTTAATGAAATACTGGTCTTTCCCACAATTCGAAAGATCAGAAGGAAACTGCTGGTGTCTGCAATGACTAGGCACATGCTTGCATTAGGGTTTAGGTCCACTTCCCTTTTCTATTCTCTGGAGACAGAATACAGCTGTTCAGCATCCTTTATAGGAGTGTTTTCTTCTAGAAGTTTCCCAAGGGCCATTACGAAGTGTGAGAAATATTAGGAAGACCACGTAAGATTTGTGTATGAGTCACTTTCCATCTGCATATGGTTAAGTGCACTTACAGAACAACTCTTATCAAATAAAAAGGCAAAACAATGCACTGAATGACTACTTCACGGGAGATTCTTGTTTTTATTTTTATTTTTATTTTTTTGGTACCAGGGATTGAACTCGGAACCTTGCAGTTGCGAGGCAGACGGCGGCACCACTGAGCTAAATCCCTGACCCAAGGTTATTGTTTTTAGATTTCCAATTGCCTTCCATCCTCATATGTAAGAGAGTAGAAGCACCTTCTCAAGAGTATATGCCCCTGGGGCCGGGGATTTAGCTCAGTGGTTTTGTCGCCTGCTGCACAAGCACAAGGACCTGAGTTCAATCCCCGGTACCAAAAACAAAAAAAGAAAGAAAGAAAAAAAGAGTATATACCATGGTGCCTTGAGCATCATCCTTCAAAGACTGCTCTCAAAATTCCATAATTCATGCAGAAGTTCCCTCTAGAGTTGTCCATGTTACCAAATTGGAGAATGGGCTAAGGTGTCCACTAATGGCCAGAGATGCCAAAAGCATCTTCAAAAACTCATGCTCTCAACAGCATCCAAGATGAAGAGAAGAGAAGGGACAACAGGACAGGAAGGAGCCTTAGGACTCTTGAGGTGTGAATGGTTAATCAAAGGATGGTGATGGCAGGTTTCTGTCCATCCCAGTCTACAGAAAGACCCCATCGCGGGTCTCTGGAGGCTACCATGCAGCAGGAAGGATTGGAGGCAGGTGTTCCGGTAAAAGCAAGCACCTGGAATGTGAGGTTTTACATCCTAGACTCTGGACATCCAGAGAATTACAAACCCATTGGGGTCAGGCAGGGCACCATAGCGTTGGTGAAAAGAACTGCTGTCATTTCCATTTTCCATAGCAGAGATCTCAGCCCTAGGTTCTCGTGAAATGCAATGGCCTCAAACAATATAATTAGCTGACTATTACAGGAACGAAAACCAGCCTCAAATGGATTTTTTCCCAACCTAAAAACACTGTGACCTGGTTTTACAATCAAGTGATCATTTTAAGACTGCACAGAGATTTTTGAGGCATGTTTTTTTAAAATAATGTATTCACAAGAATATAGGCTGGGGGAAAAAAGACATAAAAATATAGGATTACCATTTGAATGTAGCTTTCCTCCTCTTCTCTGGAAATAGGAGTGGCAAAAAATCTTGCAGAATTAATACCATTTCTTTCTGGAGAGAGAAAGCTGGTTCGATTGCTAAAAAGAAAAATACAGATGAGGTCAAAGCAATGTCTTACAGCTGCTCTGAAAGGTAGCCAGGAACTGACAGGGCCCTGTGGGGTTTCAGCCCCCACCCTCCAGACACAACTTCCATCCGGCCCAACGATTCCTAAACAAACAGACTGCCCAGCAGCTCCATACCAGGACGGAGCAGATGGCCTTCCATACCATATAGCTCATGAGCTCTGAAAAACATCATATCATTTAGCAAAACAAAACCAAAAACAAAACACTTCTAGGAGCCCTTTTATTTTGATGGTAACCAGGAAAAGTAGGAAAGTGCATACATTCCTCTGATAGGACTAGAACAAAAATTGGGAATCGATTTCTAGGCTACTCTTGAGTCTGAAACAAAGGCTGAGTGTCTCTGCAGTTTTCCTGGGAAATACAGGTTATTACAAGTTTCTGCTTTACAAAATGACTATGTGCTGTGGCATTTAGAGTGAGCCAGGAAAATCCTGGGCCAGCTTCAGCCCACTGAAAATGCAACTT